GGTCTTCTTAATTTATTTTCAATTGCAGTCAAAATCTGGCCTTTGATAGCTATTATTTTTTTATATACTTATAATTTTTACTCTAGAATTTGGCTCCTCCTCCTCAGTCCTCAGTCACACACCATCAGGCCTTTACAGTTTTTTCACGATTTCCCTCTATCCTTCCCTGTCCTTGTCTAGTTGTTCAACTTAATGTAACCCTTGGATAATCAATATTTTTATTTGATCTACTCAACGGCTTGGTGATCTTTCCCTAGGTCTCTTTCCTTCAACTCTACCCTCGACTATCAGTTTTTCCATCGTGCCTGTTCTTCTAGGAATGTGTTCGAAATGCTGCAAATATTTCTGTTGTATTTGTTTTAAGCAATCTATCCTTTACTTTAAGTTGTTCTAGTAATCGATACGTTAGTGTGATGATCAATCCAGGATATTCTCAACATGCGGCGTTATACCCACATTTCAAAAGCGTCCAGTTTATTTTTATTCGCTTAACGTCCACGTTTCGGATGCATATGTAGCTATAGAAAAAATGAGTGTCCTTACCAGCCTTAGTTTCGTTTGTATTTTTATGCTCGAATTTTTCCAAATTGTTACCAGTTTCATCTGTCACAACCTCCGTCATTTGTTATCAGGGATTTAGCTATCTTTAATTTTATCCTTAAATATATATGTTCTGGTGTGCCATTTATATGTAATTTACATAAAAAGCTTAAGGAGACTGCTGGAATATACAGAAAACGAAGACCAACTACCATAGTTAATCAGGATAACCAGATAGTGCTGGGTGAAAAGGAGAAAATTTATATATTGGAAAATTATATCCAGGAGCTCTTCCATAACGAAAGACCCATGAGTAAAGTTCATACAGACGACCAGCTGACTGGCCCTTCAATCACCAAAGAGGAGATAGAAAAGGCAATATTAAATTCAAAAAAACAATAAGGCACCTGGACCCGATGAAATCCCGTCAGAAATACTCAAATTACTAGATGAAAGGGGAATTTCAGCACTACACAAAATATTTAATTTAATTTATGAAACTGGCTGCTATCCTCAACAGTGGTTACGCTCTACCTTTATTCCCCTGCCCAAGAAAGTCAATGCAAAAAGATGTAAGGATCACAGACTCATTAGCCTGATGAGTCACACTTTAAAGATATTTTTAAAAATACTACATCAAAGATTATACAAAAAATGTGAATGGGACATCAGTGATTCCCAGTTCGGGTTTAGGCAAGGTTTAGAAACACGAGAAGCAATAGTAGCAACACAGGTGCTGGTCCAAAATTGTTACGATCAGAGGAAGGATGTGTTCTTATGCTTTTTAGATTACCAAAAAGCGTTTCATCGTGTCCAACACCACAAGTTAATGCAGATTCTCAAGAAAGTTTATATAGACCAAAAAGACATAAGATGCATTGAAAACTTGTACTGGCATCAAACGGCACAGTTAAACATAGACAATTCTATATGCAAACCCATATATATATATATATTTACATATATAAGAAGAGGCGTTCGACAGGGATGTGTGCTTTCCCCTCTTTTATTTAACATTTATTCGGAAGCCATATTTCAAGAGTCTTTGGAGGATGCAGAGATGGGAATCAAGGTGAATGGAGTATTGATCAACAACATACGATATGCTGATGATGGTGTCTTAATTTGTGACAACATAGTCGATCTTCAACAACTTGTCACTATAATCGGAGAATACAGTAAGCGAATGGGATTAGAGATTAATACCAAAAAGACCAAATTTATGATCATCTCCAGAAACTTAGATGCACTTGAAAACTCCACCATAACACTGAATACTAAGTGCATTGAAAGAGTGAGTAAATTTAAATACCTGGGATCGTGGCTTTTTGAAAACTGGGCATCGGACAGGGAAGTAAAATGTCGCATTGAGCAAGCTCGACAAGCTTTCGTAAAATTCAAGAAAGTACTGACTTGTTCAGAGTTTGATCTTCAACTGAGACTAAGGTTTACTAAGTGCTACGTATGGTCAGTGCTGCTATATGGCGTAGAGGGCTGGACACTCAAAACGATGGATATAAACAGATTAGAAGCTTTCGAAATGTGGCTTTATCGCCGTATCCTAAAAATACCATGGCCAGCGAAAATCACAAATATAGATGTCCTTAAAAGAATAAACCAAGAACGCCAACTTTTCGAAACCATCAAGAAAAGGAAAACGGCGTATCTAGGTGACATCATGCGAAATGAAAAATACCAGTTCCTCCAACTTATAATCGAGGGTAAAATTGAAGGCAAGAGAGGAATGGGACGCAAGAAAATGTCCTGGCTCCAAACATAAGGCAATGGACGGGATTAACGACATACAATCTCTGATACATATTGCGAGAAATAGAGAATTAATGGAAAATGTGATCGCTGACATCCATTAATGGATTTGCATTTGAAGAAGAAGAAGTGTCATTTATTATATAATATTTTCTGCCTGTTCTGACTGATTGTAGTTTTGTTTAGATTTGCAGCCTTTTTGATGTCCTGGATATATTTGTATTTATCTGTAATGTGGTATTCATTCCGTTCTCATAGAAGGTGCAAGATCTCAAATCCTTTATTCTTCTACGATCTGTCGTCATTGGTGAAATGCTGCGCCAGACTTCTGCATCATTTTTGTTAAAATCCTGAGAAGTTATTTTTTGTTTGCTTAAATAATATTGCGAATTTTTCTTTTGTCTCGTGATTTTTTTTTGACCACATTTTTAAGAAAACCAATTTTTTTTCATTTATTTTTTTTTCTTTTGTGGTTCACAGTTTCCCTTGACTCTAGATGTTATATTTGTGTTAAAGTGATAAGCGTCCAATAATGAAGTTTTCGTTTCAGTTTTTTACTTTTTACTTGGTAATATATCTTTTACTTTATCCATAATACCAAAGTTACAGTTCGGGTACAACTTCGCAGTCATCGCATTAACAATGATTTCACCACCAATTTTTACACCTTCACGACGATTATTTAAGCTATCTCAAAAACTGGCTCAGTAAAGGCATTAAACAACATCGGTGACATAACATATCCCTGTCTGACACCACGTTTAATAGAAACCTTTAGATGAAACCTCTTGATCCACCTTAATATAAGCGGTCTGATTGTAGTAAAGATTTTTGAGCAATCTAATATCATAGGTGTCCAGACCAAGTGACTCTAAGCATTAAAATAATGGATCATGTTGTACTCTTTCAGACTTTTATCTAAGAAATCTATAAAACATACGTAAATATTTTTCCTAAACTCAATATTCTTTTGTAAGAGTATTCCCATGCAAAATAGAGCCTCCTGAGTACCCATATCGTTTCGTAAACCAAACTGCTCATCACCTGTTATCTCTTCACAAAGTTTTTATATGCTACAATGCAATATTTGCATCATTTTGAGCGTGTGGCTCATTAAACTGATAAGTCGATAGTCGCTACACTGTCTCCATATTCCTTTTCTTGGAAATAGTTATAAATATTGATTCTAACCAGTTGTCTAGTAATTTACCAGTACTTTATATCTGCTGTAAGAAGGAGGTGATAATCGCAACGCTCTCATCTAATAGATGTAACAAGTCTGCAGGTATTTCGTCAGGTCTAGAAGCATTCCGTCGATTCGCTTGGTAAATGGCCTTCTGAACTTCTGAGATTAGAATCGGTGGGCTATTATTTCGGTTGGATGTTACTTGGTAGATTCTTTTATTTTTTTATGCAAATGGAAGCTATCGTGTCGTTGCTTCAGTTTCTCAATTTCAAAACAGGATTCTTGTAGCCATCGGTCTTTTGCTACTTTAATTCGTTTTCGGATTTCTTTATGTTTTCATTATATTTTCCTCTATTTATGGATTTGTATTGACTCCGAACGTCCATTCCATCCAAGATGTCTGGTGTTATCCAGTCATTTTTAATTTTCCGTTGTTTTGTGAGATGCAATTATTATTGTTGTTTTTTATTTGCAATCATCATGTTGTTGGTATCTTTTATTTTATTTTCATGGAACTAGTTGGTAAGTTCTTGAAAAACCATATTTAGACGTGATTGGTTTTTCCAGTGCATCTAGTGATATTTTGGAGGTTTTCTGTTTTTTTGAAAACTCTCTTTAGCCTGACTGTCATTGTAGACTACAGTACAGTAGCACAGTAAATATAGATGTAGAATACACAACTCTATTACATTATTGATCAGTAATTAATAAAGTATAAAAAAATTGTGCCATTATTTGGCTTATGTACGGATTAAGTTATGATAAATTAGATTTTTATAAAATATTCTGATTAGTGTACTTACAGATTTAAGATCGAAGTGCATAATCTTGTCAAAATAAATAGAAGTTTCGGAAATAAACAGCCAGTGAGTAAAGTTACAACAAACATTGGTAACTAGCACAGAAATCAACGCATTAGATGTGAGCATTTCCTTCCAAGGAACCGACAAGTTGTGCTGAAATAATAAAGTTTATCTACTATTAGTAAAAAAGTTTATTTAATGTAAAATTGATTTTGTAATATCTTACTGCTTAAATAAGAAAACTGCCTAAAATGATAAAAAATAGTATATTTCATCCCAGCCCAATCAGTTGGCCGCTGGTTGATAATAACGAATGTCAAACGCTATAAAATTTTTAAAGATAATGGTTTAGTATTTCAGTTGACGACAACCAAAGAACTAATAGAAATAAACATGGAAATATGTAATTGTTATTAACTAATTTGTAGCATGCAGAAAATTCTTTAAAAACTATCGGATATTCAAAGTATAAAATTTATCTAGTACGCCCCTGGACCAAGTTTAAATATTTCCCCATTTCTCTGTTTATATTGTAATGTAAAGGAAAAAATGCTAAATTCCAGTTGTAAGTGCGACTTTAAATATGGTTAGATTAATTTGTATGCGTTATTTTTGAGATTTTAGCTGAGAAAATTATTCAAGGTCATTTAAAGAGATAATTTGAAGCATTTTGACAAGAAATTTGGGTTTTCTCATTGTGTGTACGGGTAAGCGGGGTAAGGAAAAACGGTAGATGCGGGTACACAGATCGAGGTCGAGGGAATTTAAGTTTTAGGTTTGAAATGTTGGAGATTGAAAACAGACGTGTTTAGTTAAATCGGAAAAAACCGGCAAATTTGTTGAAAATAGTGAATAATACTCTATGTAATGTGCCAGTTTTAAAAAAGTAATCACTGTTTCTGTTTCTAAGTATCTAAGAGATTTGTGTCGTCTACAACAACTTTGATGGATAACCACATGTTGCCATTTGTGTCCAGTTTCCAGTATTCCTGTTTGTTAAAAAGCTGGGTCCAAGGTTTGCGTCTAATGCCAATTTCAACCTCAAATTATTGTCCTAAGAAGCCGTTTTAAAATACTTTTCGTAGTATGGAGATGAATTTGTTCGTGTGGCAGAGAGTGTAAGTCTAGTTTTTACCCCCAGAAGTTTTAGTGTAATCCAGGTAACTTTTGTGTTTGAATTTTAAAGGAAAAATAAACATTTTTAATAATAATTGCTTTCATAACAATTAAAAAAATTGTTATAATTAAAATTGTAGATCATAGGGCGTGGCTTAGCTGTTATTATATTTGTTCTCAGTTTTAAGATTTAGTTTTGACATATGACAGGTAGCTTTTTTTTGACATCTGATAAATACCCAATTATATTTGAGATTTTGTTTTAATTTTAGAAAAGGGTTAACCAGTATGCATAGTTTCATTTAAAAGGATATTTTTTCGTTTGTAATAAATTATTTCTGCTACAAATTATAGCCCAGTAACAATTGTAAGTTTTGTAGTATCTTCAACTTGTAAACGGATGTTGTAAATGAATAGAACATAGTAAGTGTTTCTCTTTGTTAGTTGTATTTATTTTTGTAACTATTAATATATTAGAAATACGATATAGTAAGTCTGTTTTTAATATTTTTGTATTGTCTATATTTGTAACTGTTTGTAGTGAGACAGTAATGAATGTTTAATGTTTCTCCCTAAACCATTTGTTTACATATTTTAAAAAAGATTCTGACACTTTTTCTTGTGTTTTTTTGGAAGGAAGAACTTTTTTTTCATCCAGCAGGAAGTTTCTTCTAAGCAGCGTCCTTATTTCAAATAGCTAGAGAACCTTCTTGTGTTTTGTTTGTCTATTTGTCCATAAGATTCATGTAAGTACCCCTTTGTTTCATTTTGTAGTTGCCCCAATCCAATCCCATTGTTTCATTCACTTATCCACGACCTAGTTCTCCAAATAAACCCTACGCGCCGTTCGCAGCAGTTTCGTTTATATTGCTTACTCTATCTCTGTCCCAATAATTTTTGTCCCTAATTTTCAACCTCCTACCTATAATAATACCTTATGTGGCAGGCAAAATATTCGTTACAAATTAAGCAAAGTCCATCCGCTAGATCAGAGGTTCCCAACCAGTGTGCCCTAGCGCACTGGTCTGCCCTGAAGTTCTTTTTTACTAGTATTTACTTGTAGAGAAAAAAAGTTGAAAATCAAGCCATCTAGGGACATATTTCAGTTAACAAACAATTGCAATGTAGAACCAAATCTGTTAGATCTTATTTTTGAAAAATCTCTCAGTAAGCTGAATGACAATATTAAAATGCGACTGGATGCGAAATCCATACATCAAGTCATCTTAAGGCACGGTCTTGTTTATTAGTGATGAAGAGGGTGAACTGTTAGATATAAAAAACGACTTTGGTCTCAGACCTAGGTACAGTAATTTAGTTGAAGAAGCAGAGGTTTAGTCAAAACTGACTAAACTGATTAACACAATGAATTATGTTTTAAATTATATTTTTACAGAAAGTAACATAGTAAAAGAATCACATACCAATACAATATGATTATACTCATTATAGAGATTATTTACCGAAGTGTGCTGTGGCTAACGAGATTTTAAGTTAGTGTGCATTAAGCTAAAAAAGGTTGGGAACCGTTGCGGCTAAATGTTTGCACAAGTATGACATTTTTCATGAATTATTGCTTATATTAAGTCTCTTTGCTTCTCACGGAAATTATTACCTGGTGGTAAGAGCATAATTCGTCAAACGTGCCAGTAGAAGGTAAGCCAATTCACTCCACTTTGACCTTTGACCTCTACGTCACAAGCCCGTCTATATTTGTCCCCACTCCACGTTTCGGTCAAGTCAAGTGCTTTAAATTTGTTAAAGCTGTTTAAGACCTGTTATATACCTGATCAAGACCTGTTCAAGACCTGATCAAGACCTGTTGGAGACCTGATCTAAAGTTGTTTGAGGATCGTATACCTACATTTTACGAAGAATAAAGATTTAAAAAGACAACTTATAACGAAACGGAGAAACATACAAATCGAGACAATTCAAATAAGAACAAATATTTCAAGAAGATTTATTCATCGTAAAATGTAGGTATACGATCAATATTAGAACAGCTTTAGATCAGGTTTCGACAGGTCTTGAACAGCTTTAACCAATTTTAAGCAGTTGGCATGACCGAAAAGGCTTGATCTTGAAGAGGGGACGAATGTAGAAGGGGCTCGTGACGTCAGAGGTCAAAGGTCAAAGTGAAGTGAAGTGGCTTACCTTCTACTCGTGCTATATATGAATCGGTGTCATTAGAGTCTAATACTGCGATATTTCTATATAACCTTGCTTCGTCAGAGAAGTTGATACAAATCTAAACACAGGATGGCCACTGTGTTTGACCTCTGCTTATTTTCCACTTAAAGTGGCATTTACTACAAACTACAAAAGGTGGCATTTACTTGGATGACCAGGAACGAATTGGTAGCATTCTGGAAGTGCTGTTATCAATATGTGGAAAGCGACACTAAACCAATGTAACAGTGATACAAAAATTTGGAAAAATGTCTTCTTTATACTCTTGAAATTAATATATCCAAGATAAAAACATAGTTGACTTTAACATTCAACCAATAATAATAGACATTATTATTGGTTGAACCCAATAGTATCACCTTTTATAAAGAAATTTTTAAATAAATTTTTTGTGATACATGATATTACAGCCAGCAACAGAAATTTAGTTTCCTTGTGGAGTAAAGAAATCCTAAATTTTAGATTTTATGGAATGAATATGTAATAAATAAATAAATATTATGCAAAAGTGTCGCGATGAAAATTGTCGCTTAATCCATCTTTAATGCATTACTTACCCGATTAGTCGCAGTGTTTAAACTATTTATAATGTAATTCTTCTCCTCTTCGCTAATTGTCGTATGACTACTTGGGTCGTTGCTGCCAATATATGCATAAATACCCACTACTATCAACATGACAGTGTTAAAGAGATAAAAGACCATGGGCCATCCATAACGTGTCGAAGATATGTATCCAGTCAATATCAAGGAAGCACATATACCTAGTGTTGCACCTGAAACAATGTATTTTGTCAGAAGTTTGAATATTATTTGAGTGAATATAAAGATCATCGATTGTGCTAAAAATATAAAACTCAGAATACTACAACAAATTACCGTTTTCTTTTTTTTTAAGGTGAGTCTCTATATCTCATCTCTTGCTCACACTGTTTTATCAAATTATCTATGATCATTCTATAACTCTGCGTGTGGTGACAAATGGGTGGATCGAGTAGCTCAGAAGTCACCACTGCTAGTCCTAAGCCCGCGTAAAGGAGAGGAGGAAAGTAGGGCAGTGGGCTGACAACCCACTCCCAGAAAAAAACACAATATTATGAAAAACTGAACATTTGCCTCGGAATACATGACAGAAATTTCTGAAAAGAGTCAAGCTATGAAACATGGACGATATATTTGGAAACTGGAATGTGAGGACATTAAATAAACCAGGAGCTCAAATCGCACATCTGCAAGAACTAAAATGATATAAGCTCATGATTACTGCTCTTCGGGAGACAAGATAGCTGGGGAAAGGTATCAGGGACACTAAAACGCAACAATTCTGTATAGTGAGAAGTAACAGTGAAGCCAAGAATGTGAAGTTGCATTTGTTTGATAATGATTTTAAGTCAAAAATTATAGAATTCCTGGCAGTCAGCGAAAGGATATGTAAGTTAGGAATTTGCACCCAATTCTTCAACCTAACAATCTCACTGCCAACAGATGAACAAGAACAACAAACAAAGGAAAGCTTCTACCAACAGCTAGAGATTCACATAAGGTTCCACATGCTTCCCACATAAAGACATACACAAAATGACATGAATTTCACTAGATGGAACTACAACCAACCAAATCTACTATGTGCTAATAGACAAAAGGGCAGCCAGTAGTATCTTAGATTCAGATTTAACAGAGAAGGAAACGAAAGACAACAAATAACAAACAAACTGGACCTGAAAAAATTGAACATTTAGGAATGTTAAGAGAAGTTCGAAGAAGAAGTCGCAAATAATTTAAAGGTACTATACCGCACTTAATATCAAACATCAATACTGACGCGGCAGCGTCACCATGGGAAACAAGAAAAAGGCGAGAAGAGGAGCATGGTGACGAGTGCAGGCAAGCAATAGAGGAAAGAAATGAAGCACACAAATATATGTAACAGGAAGAACACGGTAAAAACGAACATAATTTGAAGCCGCAAGGCGGAAAGCAGACAAGATATGTAAAAATAAAAAAGAGCCTATGAAAATGGGCAGATAAAAAAATTAAAGAAAATTTCAAAAACAACAAAATTCGAGGGGCTAACAAATACCTAAAAAAGATAAAAAAGTGAATATAAATCTCAAACAAGTCTATGTAAAGATGAAAGTGAAGAAATTGTGAAAAGTTTCAGACCCTACTTGTGCACAAGTAGACATGAATGATGAAGTGAGTACGAACTACGTGGAAGAAAATGAAGTAGAGAATGTAGTAGAAGCTTCAACCAAAGAGAAAGTTCTCGAAGCTATTAAGCAGAGTTGTATAAGGTAGGTGGCGACAGCTAACAGTCACATTGACACGCTCTTCAAAGACATATGGCAAGAAGAGAAAATATCCGACGACTGAAAGAAAAGTATAGTATGACCGATCTATAAAAAGGAGACAAACTCTAGTGCAAATACTACCGTGAAATTTCTCTCTCTACTTTGTACAGCATATAAAGTCCTGACTAGCAGAAAATATTATTGGAGAGTATCATATGGACTACAAGAAAATAAAAGAAATACAACTGAATACAAAAACTCTTAATGCAGAAATAAGAAGACATATAAAACAAGATCTCAAACGGATCAAGAAGAACGAATCGAGAAGATTATAGAAGAAAACAGAAACTTAAGATCTATCAAGTCCCACTTAGAAAGAAATAAAATCATAGAGATGGAAAATAAACAAAGTGTAATAGAAAAAAACAGAACCCAAATATCTAAGATAACAAGTGAATATTATAGCACCTCTACAGCTCTAAAAACAGTCCACATAATACAACTCAACAAAACCTAAAAAAGAAAATAATGAATGTAAACTCTGAAATATTACCCCCCATAACTGGAGAAGAAATAGAAAAAGCAATTAAAGATATGAAAAGAAATAAGATTCCAGGAGACGATGAAATTCTAATTGAAATGTTAAAAGAAGAGGGGAAAAGATAAAAGACTACCTAAAGATACTTTTCAATAAATGTTTGTTTGAAGGCCAAATACCGCAAGAGTGGAACAAGGAAATACAATTCTGATATATAAGAAACGAAATAGATCAAAATTAGCTAACTATAGACCAATATCTCTCTGGTCACAAATCTATAAAATTTTCACTAAGGTGATCACAACTAGACTAAACAACAAAGTTGATGCATACCAACCAGTTGAGCAGGCAGGATTTAGAAATGGGTACAGCACAACCGACCACCTTTACACTCTTAAATATTGATAGAAAAACCAACGAATACAACCTTCCAATATACTAGCGTTTGTTGTCTATGAAAAACGTTTGACAGCATAGAACTTTGGGCAGTGGAAGAAGCGCTAGTTAATTGCGAATAGATTCACGGTTTAAAATTTTAAACGCCACTATGAGAATTCAGCTAGACAGAGATTTGCAAACTCCATTAATTAGAATTTGTAGAGGTGTCAGACAAGGGGATATAATCTCACCCAAACTATTTACTCTGGCGTTGGAAGACATTTTTAAATCTATAGACTGGGACAATAAAGGGATTTGTATAAAACGAGAAATATTTAAATCATCTAAGATTCGCCGATGATGTACTCCTGATAGCAACAACTATGGATCAACTACGAAGAATTACCATAGGTGGAACAAACATAGAAACACGTCCAAGAATATATTTACTTAGGACAAGCTATCAGAGCAGACAAAAGTAACCAGATAAAGAAAATGACCAGAAGAATAAGAATGGGGTGGGCTGCATTCGTAAAACTCTCATATTACTATCAAAAACCAAAAAATACCTTTAAAATTAAGAACGAAGGTATTTAATGCATGCGTCCTACCTATTCTGACATATGGTGCCCAGACGTGGACGTGTACCAAGAGCAACTTAGATAGAATAAAGAAAACTCAAAGAGTTATGGAAAGACAAATGTTGGGAATATCGTTGAGAGATAAAAGAGGAACGAGTGGATAAGATGCAAAACCGAAACAACAGACGCTGTCGAACATGTATTGAAATTAAAATGAAAATGGGCTGGGCATAACGAAAGATATCAGGATGGAAGATGGAATAAAGAAATTGGCCACCGGAGACCATATACTGCAAAAAGGTCAAGATGTCGACCGCAAATCAGATGGAAAGATGACATTGAGCAAAGCGCAGGTCCAATGTGGAAAAGACAAACAGAAAACAGAGACAAATGGAGACAAATGGAAGAGGCCTATATTCAACACATGAATAGTTTTTGGGCTATAGATAGATAGATCATATGGGCTT